CTTGAAGAGGCTGACAAAGATACCAGAATAGGAAGGAATTGTAATTACCTATGTTATATGTTTAAGATACCTATTAATCTATATAAGTATACATATTTCTTTTCAAATTGGAAATCTTTTTGTCAGCCTGGCATTTTTCTCCAATAAAATTAGACTGCACTGAGATATGATTTAAAATGTTTCTTGTGCAAATAATTTATGTAAAATGTGAATCACAGTTGCTTAAGATTATGGCAGACATTCAGAAATCACTTCTGCCTCTTTGGATTTTACAGGTAATTGCAGTCTTGATTTAGGGGCAAAGGCAAAGAGGCAGGATTTTTTACCTTCATACCTTGCTCACTGGCTTTTCAGAAGCATCTGTCTGACCAATGCAAGAAACCTTTATTTTGTGGGTTTTTTAATTCATTAATTCATTGCATTTTTATTCTGCTTTTCTCCCAGTGAAGTGATTGTATTCTAATATGAACTGCTGGATAGCTCGGCTTAGGGATGGAAGTTCAATTCCCCACAGTGCCTCCTTGACAGGGTCTGTCTGGACTCAATGATTTACAGGGTCCCTTCCAGCTCTGCAGTTGTAAGATTAATTTTTTTTAAAAAAAAATTAAAATTATATTGATATACTATTTTACCTTGCTCCAGGGTCGATATACCACATTGCTTGGAAACAAAAAAAAATGCTTGTTGTGTTGCATTATAATTTAGGAACAGAGAATGTGTGGCAGGACAAGGAATAGGACAGAAGAAACCCCAGCTGCATTTTTCTTAGCAGTTCTGAACCTACTGAAGAGCAGGTAGTCTTTTCAAGGTGGAAATTCTACGTGCCTCCAACTGGATCAGTCTATACCAGTGGTTCCCAGTCTTGGGTAACCCAGGTGTTCTTGGACTGCAACTCCCCAAAATCCCAGCCAGCATAACTTGTGCTGAAGGCTGCTGGGAATTGCAGTCCAAGAACACCTGTGTTACCTGTGGTTGGAAACTGGTGGTATACAGTGGAAGGAAGCTCAGTTTCCCACGTATCATTAGGTCATGAACATTTTATGGTATCCTTCCCAAGCTGGTGCCTTCTATATGTGTTGGAATATAACTCCCATCACCCAAGGTCATTAGCACCTAAAACAGTTATTTTAGGAGGATTTGAAATGGTCAGTTGTTGCCCATCTTTTTCTAAATGTGGATGTTGGAGTGACATACGTTGCAGGGTCAGGGAGGCCTGAGGGCTTCCTCCAGACAGTCTAGGGGAGAGATTTGGAACATGGCCCATGGGCCACCCTTGCTCATCCTTTGAAACAGACAATGTTTGGACTGCACTCTTATTGTTCCCTTGGACTGTCCCATTCACTGAAGTATGCAGGGGATCATGACCACATTACTTTCAGTTTGTAGACTTCCCATGTTTCTCTTTGTTCCTCCCAAATTTTTGACACCAATGGTAATCATTAAGAAGAAAAGAAGGAATAGTTGGATAATGGCTAATTGTGGGCAGTAGCAGCCCTGGCTGTAAAACAATGTTTTCTCTCTCAGTTCTCTGCCCACTCCCCATATGGTGCTTCTTTCTAAGCAAATTATGTACATGAAGCGTGGAAATAGGTTTCTTTCAAGTATACTATTGAGTATTCTCTCAATATGTTGTTGAAAACTGTATATTTACTATATTTTGTTATAGTATTATGGCATGGTTGATTAGCGTTTTTAGATAATTTGTTCGTGTCATGAATATTGTAAGAGTTTTAGTTTATTTCATTTTTATTTAAAGTATATTTGTTTTGTTCTTATGTCAAAAAGGGTCCTGGAGCTGCTTACTCGTACAAGAATAGGAATGAGAATAAGAATGTCACCCTTTGCTTCTGGACCTGCAATTTAAAAATGCATGGCACTGAAGGAAAAAGTGGTGGGAGGGAAAAATAGTAAGCAATCTTTCATTAGATTTTGTGGGATAGCTCTGCTGTGCATCACATCTCCGTCTCCTATAGCTTTGGTCGAATGGCTGCTGACTATTCTCAGTGGGGGTCATATGGCCCACTGGGGGGCCCTGGCAAATTTGAAAGGGGCCACAAACAGGAAACAATTCTTCACCCATCACCTTATAAGGTTCGTTATGTGACTTCTGCAACCCTGTTTCAGCCTATATTTTTCTCACATTGTGTTTATGGCCATAGCCCAAAAAAGGTTGAGAATGGCATTGAATGACCCTTGAACAGCATTGCCCGGAATGCTATTACTGTATATATTTGTACAGTGAATTGTTGCTAAATAACAAGGTGCTTCTTCCATTCCAATGAATTACGGTCCATGTTGTTTGACACCTTGGCAAAACATAGTACAACAGAATCCAGTTTTACATCAGTCCCAACAATGCACTGCTTTAGAAAGCTACAAACTATAAGCAATTGAGTAGGTAAACACTGCTTTAAAATTTGAGTGATAGCTTAAAGTTTTAATACAGAGGATTTTGTACATAGTTGTAATAAAGGCAAGCATTGTACAGTACATGTTTTCTAATGAGAGTTCTATGACTGGTTAAGTCATTGAACAATGCCATTTGGTTTGCACGCTCAAAGAAATGCAGTGAATCCACAGTGTCATGTTGGGTATTTACTCACAGTACTTGTGCAAAGTACAGTAATTATCTGGCCTGCAAAAGTCCAAATGTGAAGCACTGATAACTTCTCCAAAATATTTAAATATTGAAAGTATACTGGAATATTGAAAGAATATTTCCATCTCACACTTTATTTCTTGAAAAAATGACAGTGGGGACATGAAGAACAAACAAATGAACAAACAAACAACAGAAGCAGCAAAAAAAGAGACAACATATTTAAAATATGTTAAACTCTCTTTTATAAACAAGCTCTTGTATGGTCCTGAAATGCTTACAAGTCCAATGCATTTCAATTTAAATTCAGCTATTCTCTGCAAGGCTGATCACACATCTAATTTTGCCAAAACTGAGATATTTCTTTCCAAGCAACATACAGTATAGCTATAAAAACTCTGAAGAAAGATAGGAAGGAATGGCCAGAATCCTGTCAGCCCAGTGTAGTTTAAGTAGGCAATTGGATCTATACAGCCAAGCAGCCATCTAGTCAGGGAAGCAGCTGTGCACCCATTTGTGTGCTCAGTTGTATAACCGACAACAGGTCATGAAATAAGACTGTTACACAGTTGCCCTTAAGCAGACAGTTTTCCCTAGTAGGATTTTGACAACTACGTCACAGTCTGTGACTGTTAATACAAAGTAAATTAATGCAAATGTTCCTGTTCTGAAAATATACATCACAGTCAAATAAGATATTGATTCGTAATCTATTTGAATTTGCTTGACATTTTCTCAGCAAGCAGAAGGAGGATAATTTACTTTCTTGACTAGATCACTGAATTTTATTGTGAATGTCCAGACTGTCATTTCAGAATTCAGAGTAACCTGCAGAACTATTTCCCATGAAATGAAAATATACCAAATCTACATCTGTTGCTTAGAAACAGAACTGTATAGTTTGGACGCACAGCATGTAGTGTAAGGCTTTCTGCTTTGTATGCGTATTAAATCTTAACTATATTTACTTGTAACTCTAGGTTTATGTTCCCAGCCAACTCATGATGTAATATAATTTCACACAAGCATTGTTCACAGTTTGTGACTTATCAAGAAAAGATGGGATAGATAACTCAAAACTTAGTGATGGACCATTTCCTATTGAAAAATGTATTTAAACTGTTTTTGTTTGCCAATTATACACTCCTTAGAGATCACTGTGTCTTCTGCTCTAACTTCCTGTGAGGACTATGCTGTAGAGCCCTCTCTTCTGCTTCACAACCAAAGAGCCTGTTTGAAACTATTAATAAGTATCTGCAGAATCCATTTAAGTTGCAACATTTTCTCAATAGAACATGTATCATACACAACTGAATGGTGTACTGTTCAAAAAAGACTGCTTTACACTGCATGAAAATGAGCTTCCTACTCACCTTCCTTGTGGGAAACAATGAGGTTCTTCATAAGTCTGAAAAGGTCAAGATGCTAAACCCAGTAGTACAAGTTTGGAGTTGTGGTATGGTATTTAGATCACTGGACTGGGACTTGAGAAAGCAGGCTCAAGTCTTCACTGGATGACCTTGAACCAGTCACTCTTTCTCCCAGCTCAGCCTGCTTCACAGGGCTGTTATAAGGATACAGTCAAGATAAGAGTTGTATAGACTGCCTTGATCTTATAACAGAAAAGGCAGAATGCAAATGTCAACCAATCAGTATGTTACAAGTCTGAGAAATAATGTTTTAGTTCATTTTTCATGGAAGGGGTCACTTCAAACTGTACTTTCCATCATGCAGAACTGCTTTTCTCGAACAGCATTTGATAAGCCTAATTTCACAAATAGCATCCAAATGCTCAATACTTCCAACAGGTATTCTATTTCATACATTGTATGGCTTCAGGTAAGTTAGCTTCTCCTAGAGGGAACTCACAAAATGTGTACCATTCATTATACAGTAAAGTCATCGTAGTAGCAGTGAATTTTGGTAATTAAAGCCCTCAATGATTTTTTAATTACAAAAGGGATTTCATGGAAGCTTTCAGACATCTTGAAATGCTTTATTTCTGAAAAATCACTATGGCTGATGACATTATCAGCCTTGTGTAGTATAACTTATGAAACATAATTTCAGCACTAGACAAGAATTCTGTCGAGTTAATTGGGTGTGAGAATTGTGGGAGCAGATATAACATCTCAAGGCCCAGGGATTGATATATGCAGCCCCCAAACCTATGGAGGTTGCCTCTTTGATTTAGAGGGACTCAATTCCATGCAGATGGATGGATGGATGGATAGGTAGACAGACAGACAGACAGATAATCTCACCTTTTTAAAAAAAACTATGAGGTCTAATTGAAACTTCTTATTTTATTTCATTTTGTTTTATTGTCTTCCAGTTAACAAATTAGAGCATTTATATATTAAATTCTTAACTTTTTTGTTTTAATCTCTCTACAAATTAGGTAGCACTCGGAACTTCCATCTCTCCACTTTGAAAACAGAGAACATGGAAGAAGCCATAGAGCCTTCACCGGAGGGAAATTCTCTGATAAAAGCTGTCTATCACAGAAGGCTTCGTCTCACAAGGTTGTTACTAGAAGGTGGGGCCTACATTAATGAAAGCAATGAGTATGGTGAAACACCCCTAATGATTGCCTGTAAGACCAAGCATGTGGATCACCAGAGTGTAAGCAAAGTCAAAATGGTGAAGTATCTGCTGGAAAATAAGGCCGACCCAAACATACAGGATAAAAGTGGAAAGACAGCCTTGATGCATGCTTGCTTGCAGAAAGCTGGCCCTGAAGTAATTTCTCTGCTTCTTAAAAGTGGAGCTGATGTAAGCTTGCAAGACCATTCTGGTAATTCCGTCCTTGTTTACTCTGTGAATTCAGAGGATAAAGAAACCTTGAAAGTTCTTCTAGATGCATGCAAAGAAAAAGGAAAAGAAGTTATCATCATTACAAAAGACAGATCTCCTTCTGGAAGGCAAAGAACTAGGCAGTATCTGAATGCCCCTCCTCTTGACACCGATGAATCTCAGTCTCCAAGTTCTTGTACCTCTCCATCAGATGTAGAAGTTAAAACATCTCCATCTACAAATGCGAGTGAAACAGAAAATGCTCTGTTTAACTTCAAAGAGACTAATTATCCTGGAAGACAGGAGGATTCACCAGAGTCACATTCACCTTCAAGAAAAACACACACAGGGCCTCAAATGCAACATGTACATTCTGAATCTTGGATGAAACCTTCTTTACTCTTGGAGCAGACTCAAAGATCCTCTTTACAAGAAGACCTTCAGGATATATCTCCTGAGGAAGAACTGTGTCTTAAAATCAATAGTCTCGCTCTGTCTAAAAGGTTTATCACCAGACATCATAGCATTGATATAAAGGATACCCTTAATTTCTTGAAAAACTTTGAACAAGCAGCCTCAAGAAAAATGTCATGTGACGGAATACATTCTCATTTGCTGTTTGGTGAGACAAATCAAAGTGAGGTTCCTGCTGGGCAGGCCCCTGATTCAGCTCAAACAAGTTTAATTTCCACCCTGAAAAGCATCGTTGAAAGGAGAAATCTGGGAGCAAATCACTACAGTTCTGATTCACAGTTAACTAGCTTAGGCCCTCTTTCAGAAGACACCAAACTGCTTCTTGGGAAGAAGAAGCTTCTCTCTCCGTCACCATCGCTGTCATCAAGTTCTAGAGAACTGATTGAAAACATGCCTCCAACTTTCTTGAGCAGGAGAAATCATGCTATTTTGGAGAGGCGGGGTTCAGATCATACTGCCCTGGCGAGACCTGGTTTTCTTCCGCCTTTAAATGTGAACCATCCTCCTCCAATTCCTGACATCTACAAGATTAATACAATGGGTTCTTGTGGACAAAAGAACCTAATCCCAACAGCACCTGCTTACCCCAAAGACTCTAAAAACAAGACACTTTTGACAAGGAGGCAGTCATTGCAAACTGAACAGATCAAGCAGCTGGTGAATTTTTAGCTTGACGACAGTTGCAGACACACTAACCGTGTTATTAATTTGGAGTACAAGATTTTGCTGCATCAAGGTTTCGGTAACAACAATACAAGAGTAGTATTTCTCTTACTTGGTACTAAACATTTTCCTTGACAACTGCACAGAAGTGTTCTGGTTGGTAGCAGATAAACTATCCTATAAAATATTCCTGTTTTGCTCAGATTTCAGAATAATAATAACAATAAAAGGAAATTATACATAGGATTCTGTGCAAAGTGAATACGAACTAATATTTTCTGAGAAGGAAAGAATCTGATGATGCAAATTCTTTCATTTGCAAATACTAGGCCACAGTCTTTCATGAATCTGCTGGTGCCTTATCTCCAGTGTGTAATTGTCTTTCAGGATCGATTAAATGACTAAATTCTGTACAGTACAATAGAGGATTGGACTATAAATCGGCAAAATTGCAGTCTGTATTTAAGTGTACTTATGCCCATTAATTTCAGCAGGCTTAGTCATGGTTAATGGTGGCTAGTGGCTATTCTTGTATCAAAATATACTTTTTAAAAGGTTATAAATTCACAAAGAGAAGTAAGTGCACATTGAGGAAAAATTATATAGATTTAACAACAATAAGGGAACTTATGAGCAGTTTTTTAAAAATCCCTATTATTTATTCAGTTGAGAAATGATGGGAAAGGAGGCATAAAATCCAATGCACTTGTTCAGTTTTACAGTGTGAATTTTCTCCTGCATATCTTTGTGAAGGTTTTAATATCTCTCTATCCTGAGTATTGATTTTTTTAAATAACACAAACGTTGCAAAAATCCATCAATGTCATTTTGCTGTATTACACTTTTTTGTCATTCATTTTGCAAACGTAGATTTCAGCTATTTTTGCAAGGCTTGAAACTTTTCCCCACTCCCCATATTCTTTAATACAGCCTTTCTTACATAGGAACTAGTAAATTTCAGGCATATTTTAATTAAATAATAATAATAACATTGCATCTATCCCTATTCTACATGTGGAGCTGAAAAACATGATTTCAACCACTGGCTCTAGTTCTGTAGTGGTTGTTTTCACAATTAAAGTGCATTATCATGGTTGATTCCCTCCCTCCCTTTTGTTTTCCTCTTGATTGCTATTACTTGGGAAATAATTTACTCCAGTACTAATTGTGAGTAGCCTCTTATGGTAGCTTTCAGTGGTGAGATGTCTTCAAAAAAGATGTCAGTGAGACCATGATGGGCATCATGACTGTGACAAAGGTAGTGGTTCAGATGCATACCTGCAGCTTCATTATCTATGCAGGGCAGGTACTTTTTCTATTTATGCCACATCTGTCACAGAGACAAATGTTGTGAAAAACCCTGATGGCTTGTTTGTATTTCATGGAGGTAAGAAAGTGTGATAATACTGGAAATGTCAACATTAGCCTTCTGCATTGGAACATTTTCTGTAAAGTAATCACAACTGTGTATCCACTAGTAAGTGATAATATGTGGCTCCTTAAAAATGTTTGAAGCTTTTAATTCCCCAGTATTTCTTGATCCCAAAAGTTAGCACAGAAAGTTAACAAAATTATTTTTTTCTTGCTTTCAATTAGTAATATTTAGTTCTGTGTTATTAGTCATAATATTATAGTTTCACTGAAACAAAAACAGCAAATCCATGTTTTAGAAAGGCAGCTGTTACATAGTGGTTAATATGGTATACATCTATACAAACTGGAAAAGACAATAATACTTGGAAATGCTGCCTGGATCTTTTCCAGCTCTCTGGAAAAGACAATAATGCCGGGAAAGGTAGGAGGCAGCAGGAAAAGAGGAAGACAAAAGACAAGATGGACTGACTCCCTACAGGGAACCACCGCTTTTCATTTACAAGAGCTGAGCGGGGACGTTGAGGACAGGACTCATTCACAGGATCTCTATAGTTGGAGGTGACTAAATGGCACACACCAACAACAACAGTGCTAACTTTATTACTCTGTGCAGCCAAATTCTCCTTGATATCTAGATTCTCACTTCACTTCTTTTTCAGCTACTGTTTCTTACAATAACAAGAAAGAAGCTTGTGGTGCCAATCCTGTTGGACTAAATCTAATTGTTAGCCCCAGCTAGGACTGCCCTCACTAGAATCAGTGGGATTGCATATGTTTTCATTTAATAAATCACATTCATCCCATCAGCCTATTCGAAGTTGGGATTAACACTTGCTTTCAGCCCTAATACAGTTTATAGTGGCATGAGATTTTGAAGGCTAGAATTCCACAAAAGCATATACAGTACCACAAATACCATTGGTTACTGCTACAGGACCCCTTACAATACAGTACTATCTCAGGTCACTGTCCCCCAATTCTTTATCTCACTCTGTTTCCAATAGATACGGAGTATTCTGCAAGAGAATTTCAAGCAGGTCTTGCTCCCCCATTTCTCCCTTTCGTAAGGCATAAGAAAACATAATTCACCATCAGGTATCTACTTCTATGATTCTCATTGGGAGGTACTGAAAGAATTCAGTAAAATTATATTAATAACATGCTGCCATGTTGATTTTGACTTACGGTAACCTTTTCCAAGGTTTTCTAGGTATAGAATACTAAAAAGTGGTTGATTTTATGGTCCCCAAACTTGGGCCTCCAGATGTTCTTGGACTTCAACTCCCAGAAATCCTGGCCAGCAGAGGTGGTGGTGAAGGTTTCTGGGAGTTGTAGTCCAAGAACATCTGGAGGCCCAAGGTTGGGGACCACTGGACATTCAGAGAATTACTAGGATTTGAAAAATGGCTAACTCATTTCCCAAGATATGACTCATAGCCAAGAACCCAGCTTACCAACCTATCCAGCCAGCAAGAACTTAGTGAACCCAGAAAGAATTTCTAAAGTGATCTTCCGAATGGAACAGCAGATAACTGTATACATCCAATCAGAAATACTGTTGCTAATTTAATAATGAGACGTTTTAAACTTAATTAAACAATGTGGGACCAGGAACCAATCTATATCCTTGATTTCTTAACACTAACGCATGTTCCTTATTTCAGAGCACCTCTATAGCAGATAGTTCTCAATATTTTCTCTTATTTTTAAAGCCAGATCATATAAAATAGGAAGGCAAGTACTGTACTGAGTCCTAACTTAGTATGAAAAGGCAATCTGCACATTCTTGTATAAGAATTAAATTCCCATTTTCCCCAAGCCTAGTTATAGCAAAAACAAAAAAGCCTGCCCAGAGTGGTGGCTTGTCCATTCAATGGGTGGGGTATAAGTTAAATAAACAAACAGTTTCACTTAGCCTGACTGTTCATTTTCATGTATTCCTTTTTGCTCTCTGATATATGTACCTGAATCCATATGTACCAAAGAATCCATACTCATTATACTCCCTTGCTGCAGATTTGAGACATTCTCTGAGCCAATACTATCATTAGGCACAGTGAAACTGTTCCCATAGGCAGTAGATACTGAGACAGGGGAAGAACAGAAGTACATTGGAAAAAATACAACTGTGCAGGCCCACATACCTTAAGCTATCCTGATGCTTGCAAATGCAGTTGTGGATACTCTTGCATCATTAGCAAGGATGTAACATTTACTGTAACTGCCAATGCAGTTGGCTGTTCATCTCTGGAATGGCAGCTTCTTGTCCTTTGCCTGGAGCAGCAAAATGTTTTGGGAATGGCCAAGCATCCCTCTACTGCAGGAGGCAGCTGTTGAGGCAGTGATGGGAAACCTGATGACATTCATACAGAACCTTGTGCAGTTTTACTTATAGTGTGCTGCTGTTGCCACTGCTGCGGGGATTGAGAAATTATTCACAGCACCAAATCAAGTGAAAACCTTCCATGTGTACAACCATAATTTATGGACTCTTACAAATGTTCAGTTAATGTGAGGCTATTGCATGGCCTATACTTATGGCTGCTGCTAATGAATGGTCTTTTTGATTTCTGTTGCATGATATTCCTACACTAATCTGATATTTTTTCTAAATTGAACCTGATCTCTGATATGCTTTTGCAGAATTGCTTGCACAGACTGAATGGTAGGCTTCAAGAAAACTGTTTGTACTTGAATTTGTTTATATGTCACTTATTTTATAAAATTATATGATTTTACATTATTTGTGTGCTCATTTGGATTTGTGATCTACTGTGACTTTTACCTTGTGCAATAAATTTCCACAATAAGGTGATGCAAAAACACTGTATCCTCTATCAATATGTTAGGGTGCAAATACACAGCCTGTTTTACATTTGAAATTGCATTCAGTGCTCACACAGGGGTTGCAGATAGATTCTGGAGTTCACCATTCATACAGGATGTGTTGCGAATCACAGTCCAGCCCACAGCCTCACCACCCCCACCCCCGTCTTTCCTTCCTTCCTCTGGTCCCATCTCTTCCTATCCTTTTATAGGACGTAAGTATGATAAATAATAATGAGGATCCAGTGATAAGGGGATAGAGTAATCTAGTGCTAATTTCATATACAGTATCGATATGTCAAGATTATGGCCGGGTCAGAGAGATCCACACAAATCACTGCTAGAATTTTCCTGGTATGGGTGAATTTCAGAAGGACCGGATGTACTGATGATTGGGGAAAACGTTCCTGCCCTGTACTCTTCCTAGCATCTTGAGTAATTCTGACTACTCTTTACTCCTGGAGTTACCAAAAAATTCACAATGTTGAGCATTCTAGCCTGTACATCAACCCTGCCAGGTAAGAATACCAAAATACCAAGAAAAAATAAAGCATCCAATAGGTGAGCAAGGTAAGGTCCTGCTTTAGTGCCAGCAACCTTCTTTTCTCAAAATAACCAAACTGATGGAAAGTTTTATTAATTTACTGAAGATGTTGCAAAAAGAAGTCAAAGTTTCAAACTGTTTCAAAATATAATTTCAGAAGTTTTAAAAGCAGTCAAAAAAGTTATGGAGCAAATGAGCATGCAAGATGATTTTAAGACAAGGACAGTTCTGGAACAGTTCCCACAGAAAATAAGAAAGCTAACTATCCTAAACTAATACTCATATTCAAGCAAAACTTCAGCATAGTTCTAGAGCATACACAGAGTATATATCAAGTAGCAAGACAACAAGTAAGCATAGTGTTCTCCTTCAAGAGGTTAAGCTACATTAAGCAAACTCTTTTTCCATTTTTATACCAATCATTCACTTTCTAGGCCTTTGGATGGGATTCACCAAAGAGAGTAACTCCTCCAAAGCAAGTTCATCTCTCCCCCTCCTTTCTCTTCATCTGAAACCAGTTTGGTTAATTAGCCTGCACCAGGGATGAGTTATGACTTGGAAATTTCTTTTTATGAAGATAAGACACAGATGGTACAACCTTCCAATTAAGGGGCACTTTCTTCCCTCTGTCCTGGCAGACTCATCCCAGGCACAAGCTAACGAGCTTGTATTTCAAAGGGCAACTGAAACCATTATCCCCCAATTTTCTAGTTTCTCAAAAGTAGAAATATTTTAAAATTTAAAAAAAAAACAGAGAATGATTGGAGGAAAGGAAAGAAGGTGGGAGGTGTCCCCCTGGTCCTGAACATCATCTCTCCTGTGGGAAACTTCTGCCTAAAGGTTGTAGCTGCATTCTGTTCCAGTGA